GAGTTTGCGCGGGCCGCCATACGGGCCGCCTCAGGTATACGCGTAGGAGGTATGCATTGGTTGAACAATGTACCGGCAGAGCTCCTCGGGCCTCAGTGCCACAACTACTCCCACCTGCTCCTGCGCACTAGCCCCGCCCTGCAGGCCCAGGTGGATGTTACCGCCGCCCGTGCTTTCCTCCCCTTGCGTAGCCTGGAGAAAGAACTGGAGTGGGCCTTCCACTCTCTTCACTTCTACCGTAGTCGGGGACTCTTCCCGCACCACATCACCGAGGAGTCGCTCAAGCGGCTGGGCACCGTGGACTCCCTGCCGCAACGCCTCCTCGAGGCAGTCCGCACCGTCACAGTAGCCTCCCTGCCACACTGTGTTGCAGCGCTGCGTTCCTGGATCATTCAGGAAGTCAGGCTTCGATGCTAAATAGTAAGGCGGTCAACCTACCCTTGCCTGCACCGGTGCAAACATCTCTCGGTGAGCTGTCGCTCGAGCGGGTTGTGGATTTTCTGCACTTTCATGTCTACAGCCAGGGCGCTGCGCTTGAGGATACTGGGCAGGAGAACCAGCGGATGTCGCACCAGGACACCACCCGACGCTTCGCCCAGGCGCTGCCGGTTGTGCTGAAGGTGGAAGACTGTCTCAGCTTTGGCACATACGTGCTTGGCTTATCGTGTCCCAATGGCTTTACACCAACGGAGACCACTGGCTGGTTCTCGCATCGCCAAAGCGGTAACCGGCCGCCCTCCGAGGGTTGTCTTCTGCGGTTGGAGTTTCGACAAGGGCAACTCCTGGCAGTCTTTGTTGAACTGGTAGTCCCTGACCGGCTCCGTGGAAAAACCCGCGAACAACGCAAGGTCGAGCGACGCCAAAACCGCCTTAACCCTGGCCACGGCAGCCCTCCTGCTCATCCGCCAGTGGCCTTCTTTTCTTGGGGCCCCCCCGCAGCCTGATCACGTTTGCAGCTGGGATCTTTCCCTTCGCAGTCTGTCGTGCATTAAAGTAGGGGGGGCTCTAGATGTATTTCTGCAAGTGCTTAAAATGCCTGAGGCGCGTGTTCCCCTGGCCATTGGCATGCCCATCCGACCATGCACCCAGCCTGCGCCGAGGCCTCGGTGCCATTTCGCTTCTGAGGTGCACCTTGTGTTGTCGTTCCTACAAGCGGTGGAGGCGGCTGCCCGCGCCCCTCACTTTCCAGCTGCCCCAAACTTCAAGCCGGCCGAGTTTGTAGCGCTCAAGAAGCGCATCCTTGCCCTTCATCCAGTGGCTAAACGCAGCAATCCTCGGGATCCTTTCTGCAAGCACTGGCGCTTGCCTGCGACTTTGATCCCAGCTGAGTTGCACACCTTGGCCGCCCTAATGGGACAAACATTTTGCCGCCACATCGACGAGTTACTCAACAGTCCGGATGGACTCCTGTGTGGACACATATCGGCCATCCTGGCCGCCCGGGCACAAGGACGCAGCTCGCTTAGCGTCTTGGGGTGCGCGGGATCTTCCAAAACTTTCTCCCTGTGGTGCGCCTTGGTCTGCATGGACGCTGTGTTGGAGCAAACTGTGTTTTGGACAGCACAGCAGCATTCAGCGCTCATCGCGGTCGTGCGTATCGCCTCCAACCTCTTAGCCGATGCCTCAGAATGGCTGCGCCCGCTCGTTGTTGTGCGGAGGGTCTCTGGCGATGCTGAAATGATCGACCCGTCCTTTGACCATGTGCCCTTGACTGAGGCTGCTGAGCACCAGGAGGCCGTCAGTGCGAGCGCTGATAGTCCCTTAATATCTTGAGCGTGAATTTTCTTGAAAAATCGGGCCTGGATTTTTAAAGAAAATGGCTGCCAAAAGTTTTCTGTTGTGTGAGCGCCAAGTGTTGCTATATTGCATCTTCTTGTCACCCGCGCTCGTCATCTCAAGGCATCTCAAAGCCGGTTTTGCATAAACGTCAGTGACACTATGCTGGACTTCACTGAACAAGCCACAAGTCTTGCACATGTAAGGTTGCAGAAAATTTTCTTTCGCCGGGTCGTCCCATGGACTTCGGCGACGCCCTCGCCGCCGGTTCTTCAGGCCGTTCCGAGGACAGCTCTACCAGCACCCGCGAGCTCCATAGTCAGCACATTTACGAACTTCAATTGGAGGTCAACGCCCTCCGTGCTGAAATCCAAACTCTCAGGTCAGCATTGCAAGCTTTGGAAGAGTCCCTTGCTCGTGCCTGGGTGAACCAGACCGGCCACCACCAACGTCTCTCGTGGCTCGAAGGGATCATTCAGAGCTTGAGGGCTGCCTGTCGGGTATTTCTTGAGCCTGGCGTGCAGTCTGCCTCAGATTAGGCCATGAATACCTTTAGTGCCAGCATCTTGCAGCAACTTGCTGGTGTCATCCGCGAGCAGCTCGACGGTGCCTTGCCTCAGGCGCCGGCCACTTTTGGGCCCCCTGAGCTTCCCTTTGCACCCGTGCCCGATCTTGGGGATGCCTTTCCTGCAAATCCATCTCCTGCATCTGCTTCTGCGGATAACTGGGGGTTTGTAGGATTTACTGGTGACTTCGAAGGGTTTACCGATGACTTCACAGCGCCTGTCTCTGAAGTCGAAGTCCAGCAGCAAACTCACGAGTTTCCACCTTCCCCTCCCGTAGGGTTTAACCCCAATCACTTCGAGGCCCATTTAGCGTCCCTCTGCGAGCCAGACGAGCAAGCCCCTTCCCTCTCCCTTTTAGGGTCGGGAGATGAAAACACTGCTTGGTATGAAGATGTTAGGGCCATGAGTGAGTCACATTTTTCATTGGTGCCAAGTGCCAGCAAAAGAGACTTTGGAGAAGAGGTCCGTCCTGGTAGGATTGCTCGTGCTGTGGGCGATGAGCGCTCACGTACTGCCGTGGCATCTCCTGCCCTGCCTTGGGAGAGAGGAGTCTTCAGAGCCATCTTTGGGGATGAGGGCTTAACTAATCCCTTTGATAACCTTGTGCTTAAGATGCCTGGCCCCTTAGTCCCAGCACATGTGCCGCCGGCGGAGCCAAAGATCCCTGAGCCTCCCATACCTTCAGCTGACATCGCGAGCAGGGCATTCAAATCCTTCAAGGATGTACATCCGAGCGACGAGCGTGATATGGTCATGGACCGAGCGGTGTGCAAACTGCAGCACATCATTTGCCGCACCGATGTTGACCGTTTGTCACCTGAACTTGCACAAGCAGCCTCTTCCAAAGATGCGACAGACGAAGTGTTTGGCATCGTGTCAGCTTGTGTAGGTCTTCGTAGTCCTCACACGGTTGTGAAGCGCGCCAACGCGATCCTTGCATACCTGAGATGGTGTGACAAGGAAGGTTACGAGAAGCCATTTTGTGAGGATTCTGTGTGGAGCTTCATTTCTTACTTAAAGAAAGAGAAGGCAGCTCCGACCCGTGCAGCCTCCCTCATTTCAGCTTTGCGCTTTGCGAACTTCGTTCTGGGGCTGAGTGTGTCCGAGGTTCTTGCGAGCCGTAGAATTCTGGGCCTCAGTGCCCAGCTGGGTGTCAAAAAGAAAGCGACCAACCGAGCCCGGCCTCTCAAGGTGTCAGAGGTTCGCTTCATGCATGGCGTGCTAGAGGACGAGAGTGCACCAATCTGGGACCGAGCCATCTGTGCCTACCTTCTTCTTGCACTCTACGCAAGAGCCAGACACAGCGATTTGGTTCTTGTAGAAGAAGTGATAGCAGACTTTGATCGCCAGTGCAGCGGATACCTAGAGATCCGCCTCAGATTCCATAAGACGGCACAAACCATTGCAAAGAAAAATGATTTGTTGCCGGTTATAGTTTCAAGCAAGGGCATCGTGAAAGGCGACTGGCTGGGGTTGGCTACTGATGTATTTGAGCGCGTGGGCCTCACCTTGGATGGGACTGTCGGTGCGGGCCTCTTCAGGCCCTTTAGGCCCGGTGATGCTGCCCCAGGTCGACGAAGCCTAAGGTCGTCGGAGTGCACAACCATGTTGAAAATGGTCCTTGAGCGGGCTGGGTCAGATGTGTCAATGGTCACATCTCACTCGTTGAAGAGAACCCTGCTTGATTGGGGCTCCAAGTTTTGTCTTGATGACGGGATTTTGGCTTTGCTTGGGCGTCACAGTAAGTGTGTCAAAGGAAGCGTGCCCGTCTATGCTAAGGAGGAAGCCTTGAAAGCTGTTAGGGCTCTTGAGCCTATGTGCCAAGCAGTGGCCGCAGGATCGTTCCACCCAGATGCTGCCCGAGCCTTGTACTTTACAGATCCCCCAGCGCCAACTGTGGTGCCACAAGCGCCCGAGTTCAGGGCGGCTGTCAAGGCGAAGGTTGAAATCATCAATGATTCAGCGTCCGAGCGGGCTGAGTCCGAGGGGCAGCATTCTTCAAGTAGCAGCGAAAGCAGCGATTCCGAGTCACAAGACGACTCCGACTCGTCGTCCGAGTCAATTGCGCCGATCAAAGCGCCCCGCCTGGAAATCGAGCAGTGGGATGCCGCTGACTGTGTGGCCAATTCCAGGACCAGGACCCTTCACCTCTTGAAATTTGTGTCTGGAGGTGGAAATCTAATCGCCACATGCGGAAGGACCTCAGAGGTCATGGTTCAAGCGGCGCAAGCACATATGAGTTTCCGGAGGTGCCGCGCTTGTGTGCGGATTGGGAAGCGCTGAAGGCTAGATGCCGACTTTCCGCCTTTTTGGCGAAGGGCGAAGTGCCAGGACCTAGACGGTCTTTGATCGCGATCCGAGTCCAGTTAAAGAGTGATCGTCTGCAGTGGGACATGTTGTTGCCAGGGACAGTGAAGCGCGGCAGTGTGCTGAATTAGACTCCGCTTGACTTGCAGTTTTGTGAGTGCAGTGCGAACATTTGAGTTACTGCAGTATTGGCCGAGGATAAAACATGTTTTGATCATGTCATGAAGTTCATGTTGTGTTCTTCTCGCTTTATCTTAGATCGAATGATGCTTTAATTACTTTCAGCTGCTGTTCAGGTACCTCGGAGTTTTGACGTGCACAGTGGACTGTCCGAAGCTCCTTTTGCTCGCCATGTCCTCGTTAATCGATAGCGGTGCACACTTCAAAAGGCGTGCGGATGAGGTCGGCCTCAGCAGTGCCGGGTGGACGATCCTTCAGGCCCTTGGCATTACCTCTGTAGGTAAGGCGGCGTACACCATCACGTCGCCAGGTGAGCCAGTCACGGAACCCATATTCCGAGATTGGGTTGCCGACAATGCTGCAGGTATGACTCTGGGTGATCAATCATGCTTGAAAAGGCTCGTGTTCGAGTCCCAGACTCTGGTCGTTGCTGAGTTGCGCGACCAAGTATCCGGGTCTCAATCATCTGCCCCTCGTCGTGTTCCCGAGGCTGAGCGCGACCGAAGACTGAACGATCTTAGGGCGGCCCTCCCAGGCATCACGCTGGAAGGCGTGAACATGCCAAGCAATGCCCTGTTGGATTCATGTTGTCAGCAAGAGCGAGACAACTTGCTTAAGTACATCCCGCCTGAGAAGGCCACGAGCCGCACCCATGAACTCACGAATCCCAGACCGACCCATCAAGCGCTGCAGGTCGAAGCATCCAAGATAGTTCTCAAGAGTGACGCTGATGCTGTTGAGTATCAACCGGTCAATGCGCTCCAGACCATGGAGGCCCTTCGGCGACGAGGTTTGGCCATGGTGTTTGCACAGATGATTTCATATGATGCCTACGATCGGTATGTGAATCGTCTCTTTAACCACCTGTCCCGTGACCCGCCGCCCGGGCTCAATCGCGTGAATGTGACACAATTGGTTAACGCTGACAAGCAGGTGTTTGCACTGCTGGCCGAATGGGGTATCAAACCAAGGAGGGATACCGCAGGCGAGTATCCCCTTGACCGAGAGATGCACCGCGCTTTGGAATCCTACGAGGTGTCCATTGCCCTCATGCACCAGGCTCCCCATGCAAGGCAATTTCCCGTTCAAGAATAACCGCAAGCGTCATCCCTCTCGGCCTACAACTCCCGATCCTCCCACGAAGCTCCCTAAAGGCAAAGGCCGAGGCAAAGGTGCCAAAGGTGGTCCTGCGATGCCCAAGGAGCTTGTTGACCTGAAGGCAAATGCCACCACACCTGAGGGTAAGAGCATCTGTTATGCGTTCAACTTGAAGGAGTGCAAGCGCACTGACTGCCCTCACCAGCATGTCTGTGCCAGGTGTTTCCAGCCGCACTCGATCCGCAAGTGTGCTGCCGCCGGCGCTTGAGCGCCTTCGATCCCCTCTGAAGCAGTTTTGCATCGTGATTCACTCTTGTCTGAACCTGCCTCGTCTCTTGTCGCAACTGGAGACCTGGCTGATGCATGCAATCCCATATCCCCTCCTTGTGAGCAGCACGCCCAAACCTTGCTTTCCCGCGGTGCCTTGTGTGCTGAGGATGTGTTGGGCTTGGTCTCTTTTCTGCAACCCGAATCACCTCGCTTCCCTGGTGAGTTTAGTTGGGCCACTGGAGCCTATGTGCATGGCGGCATAGTCGGCCTCCGACACAACCTCAATCATTTTCCACTTTCGTCTAAAGTCTTGGCGAGCTTTGTTTCGAATACATTCCCACAATTGGAGTTTACCTCCATCGTGGTTTTAGTTAACACCCTCACCCCTGCGCACCAAGACCTCAACAATCATTTGGGTTTCCCCAATGCTTTGATTCCGCTTAGTAAGTTTGAGGCCGGTGGCCTTTGGATCGAGGGAGCTGGTGAGGAGGTTTGTCCTGACCCAGGGCATCCCGATGCCAAGGGGCATGTTCTGCAACTGCATGAGCCGATCCAGTTCGATGCGCACCGGCTGCATGCGACATGCCCGTGGACAGGAAACCGCACTGTGCTAGCAGCTTTCGTAATCAATGATTTCCACAAGTTGGATGCTCAGCACCGCCAGCTTCTTCAGCACAGTGCCTTTCGCTTGCCAAGCCTGTCTACTGGCGAGCTCCTGCCTTTGCGCCCAAGCATCGCTTCGCGATTCCCAGTGGTCCTTGAAATTTTTGCGGGTACAGCTCGTGTGACCGCAGCCTTGCGTCGCTGTGGCTTTGTCGGGGCCCAAGGTGTTGATCACGTGGTCGTGGATCATGCTGCCTGTCCTGTGCTGTTGGCCGATCTGACTACGCAAGAGGGCCAGCGTTTGACAATGATGTGGCTTTCCAGCCCTCATGTTGTGGGTGTCTTCATCGCTCCACCGTGTGGCACCAGCTCTCGCGCCCGGGAGATTGCACTCCCTGGGCCTTCCCCCGCCCTGCTGCGATCACTCACTTTTCCCGACGGGCTGCCCCATCTGTCTGGTCTCAACCTGGTGCGCGTCAACAGGGCTAATCAGCTGTACCACTTTACGACTACCATCTGTGCTGAGGCCCATCACCGCAACCTCATCATTGCCGTGGAAAATCCGCGGAGTAGTCTCTACTGGTCCACCAGCTTCTGGGCTGCTGCGGCCTCCTTTTGTCCTATGCATACTGATTTTCAACACTGTGCCTTTGGCGGTCGCCGGCCCAAGTGGACTCGCCTTCGCCACAACCACCAAGCCTTCCATGCTTTGCATCGCGTCTGTCCCGGCGGTGCCTGTGCTGCCCAACATTTGCCGTGGGGTCGTTCTGAAGACGGCTCCTTTGCCACCGCCAGTGAAAGCGCTTACCCGCCGCAGCTAGCCACCGCCATCGCTCAATGCTTCGCTCGAGCAGTTACTTTTCTGCCTGAGGCCGAGCCCTCCCTTGCAGCCATGAGGGCCACTTCCGGCCTTCAGCCCAAGGCTTCTGCTGTGCCGCCTCTTGTCCCCGAGCACATAGCTGTGCTTGTAATGACTGGCCCAAGTGATGCCACTTCCTTGCCGACCCTTCGCGCCCGACTGCCCGAGCCGTGGTCTGACTCGCGCTTCGCGCCTGCTGGGCCCGTGCCAGCCCACAGTCAATTACTCCGAGCGGATAAGAAGGGAAGTGATCGACTTGAATTGGCTTGGGGCATATCTTGGTCTCCAGAAGAGTTCATACATAAAGCGGTTCAAGCGGGACATCCCAAAAAGTTTGACTCGCTACTGCCTTCCGCACTGAGCCACAGCATAGACGTAAATGCAAAAACAACGCCGGCCGATAGAGCCGGCCTCAGAGCCGAATGGTTTGCAAAGTGGACCAAACGTGCAGCTGAACTTTCGGGGGACGAAAAGAAGCTCAAGAGCTCTCTCCCCGAGTACGCCAGGAAGATCGTCCTACCAAAAAGGATTTTATTGTGGCGTGAGATTCTAGAGGATCTCAAATATCCTGACATTGGAGTGCTGGACGAAATGATTGAAGGAGTGCACTTGACAGGTCAGACCCCTTGTACAGGGGTCTTTCCTGGGGCCTTTAAGCCAGCAAAAAGGACTTCGGAACAGCTGCGCTCCAAAGCTAGTGAGTCCCGCCAGAAGATCATCGATGCGATCAAATCGCAGGGCCACCTGGATGAAGCGCTAGAGCAAAAGGTCGACGAAGAAGTGGAACTCGGCTGGTTGTCCGAGCCGATAGACCCGGCCGATTTGCCGGAAGACGCCACAATCAGCAGGAGGTTTGCAATCGAGCAGTCAGGTAAGATTCGCTTGATAGACGACCTGAGTGATAGTGGTGTTAATGGGTCTGTCCAAACCACCGAGAGCCCCAAACCTCAATCCCTCGATGTGGTGGCCGCCGTGGCCCTGGCCTGTCTTAGACAGCTGCCTGGGACTCCCATGCTAGGGAAGACTTAAAGAGCGCCTACAGGCAAATGTTTGTATCTCCAGACGACCTCAAGGAAGCTTACATTGCATACTTCAGCCACCGCGAACGCAAAGTGATCGTAAGGCAAATGCTTGCGCTCCCATTCGGGGCGACCAGAGCGGTGTTCTCGTATTTGAGAGTGGCGCACTCTATGTGGTACATTGGGTGCTGGGCACTGAAGTTGATTTGGTCGCATTTCTTCGACGACTTTCTGAGTCTGGCGACTCAGATCGAGGCCAAAGCAGTTGACCTGGCAATATCATCATTGTTCAGGTTGCTAGGGTGGAAAGTCTCGGAGGACAAAGACAAGCCCTTTGCTGAGAGTTTTGCTGCGCTTGGGGTACGGGTTAGCTTCGAACGATTTTTGCAAGGGGAAGTCCTGTTCCATAATACGGACAAGCGCATCTTGGAGGTTTCGGCCACGCTGCGCCATGCAGCTGATGATCCAGCTCTCACCCAGAAGGACCTGTCGCGCATTCGGGGTCGCATGGTCTTCGCAGGGGGCCAGCTCTTCGGAAGAGCCGGCCGGCTATGCGTGGCCGCCCTAGCTGGTGAAGGTTGCTCGACCAAGGCAAACCTTAGCAACGACGCAAAGCAAGCTATGCTTCAGTTTGCCGACCTGCTTGAAGCCAATTGGCCGCGCGTGCTGAGAGATGTGTCGGCAGATCCAGTGTATATCTTCACTGATGCCTCGTATTCCGAGGTGAGTGGAGGTACTTTCTGCGGCATAGGCGGAGTCTGCTTTGACCACAAAGGCCATCCCCTTGGATTTTTCTCCGAAGAATTGTCCTGTTTCCAGAAGCGTCTACTAGGAGAGGGAAGGTCCAAGACCATCATCTTCGAGGCGGAACTTGCAACAATCGTGATCGCTTATGTCCTATGGAAAGATTGGCTTAGGGGAAAACCTGCTGTGATTTTTGTGGACAATAACTCCGCTAGAGACGTGTCAATCAGTGGCACATCACGGAATGATGTAGGCAAATCGCTTGCATCACTTCTTTTAACAGTGGAATCCTTAGCCAAAGCTTTTTCGTGGTTCGCTCGTGTTCCGTCACCAGCGAACATCGCAGACACGCCTTCGCGTGAAGTGCTGAAAAACTTCACCGTGTCAGGTTGCCCCGTCCCTCACTTCCCGTGCGAGGACATCGTGTCCGAAGTCTTGGGCATCTTAGTCAAGTAATACAACGGATAAGAAGGGGAGAATTCTTGATTTCGGTTTACATATCCTTTTGCAGGCGATGTTTGTTCCGCCAGGCGATGACGTTCCGCCATCCGTAGCTGCAGGTTTGAGGCTAAATGCCTCATTGCACCAAGGTACCCCTTGTCACCGCTGGTGAAAAACGACAGAAGCTTTCAGGAGTGCTGTGTGTTTCGTGTCTCTCTTGAGTGTGAGCGTCGCAAGCCAAGCCACTAAGCCTTCAAGTGCGATCCCTAAATCGGCAGCCGTTTATGCTCAAGATATTAAGGAGGCCGTCAGTGCGAGCGCTGATAGTCCCTTAATATCTTGAGCGTGAATTTTCTTGAAAAATCGGGCCTGGATTTTTAAAGAAAATGGCTGCCAAAAGTTTTCTGTTGTGTGAGCGCCAAGTGTTGCTATATTGCATCTTCTTGTCACCCGCGCTCGTCATCTCAAGGCATCTCAAAGCCGGTTTTGCATAAACGTCAGTGACACTATGCTGGGCTTCACTGAACAAGCCACAAGTCTTGCACATGTAAGGTTGCAGAAAATTTTCTTTCCCCGCCCACCCACACCAATTGCATCTCAGACCTTGCGGCGAGTGACGCCCCTGCAGCCGAGTGCCGCATGCGTGAATCCAATCCCTTTGCACACCCCCGCCGATCCGGTCAGCGCTTCCGAGCGTGCTTCGCTCATAATGCGTTCTCGGGGAGAATTCTTGATTTCGGTTTACATATCCTTTTGCAGGCGATGTTTGTTCCGCCAGGCGATGACGTTCCGCCATCCGTAGCTGCAGGTTTGAGGCTAAATGCCTCATTGCACCAAGGTACCCCTTGTCACCGCTGGTGAAAAACGACAGAAGCTTTCAGGAGTGCTGTGTGTTTCGTGTCTCTCTTGAGTGTGAGCGTCGCAAGCCAAGCCACTAAGCCTTCAAGTGCGATCCCTGAATCGGCAGCCGTTTATGCTCAAGATATTAAGGCGGCAGGGCTTGGGGACATTGCCACGGCTCAGCCAGGAGTAACGGGGCGCAGTGCACGTCTTGCCTCCCCTTCAGTCAGTGCTCACATGCTGCTGCTCACGCAGGGGAGTGAGGTTAAGACTTTCCTCAACAACGCGCATGTCATCGTGATTGATGAGGGGCAACAGGAGGGACAGCCTGCATCGGCTGCCATCCTTGCTAATGCAGCTGGCCAGCTTGTCATCCGCACGGGCGACCCACGACAACCTGCTGGAGGCGGCAAAGGTGAGGTTCAACTGCGCACGTTGGCCCGACTCATCGCCAAGCCCGTTGGCATCCGTGGAGTCGCCCAGCTGGCCCCGCAGCCAGTGTCTCCGGGGCGACTCGCCGCGGCACTTCGAGGCTTGGTGCAGTCTACCCCGCTGGGACCACTTCACACAGTCAGGTGGACTCGCCTTGGACATCGCCGCAATGGCCATCAGGGCGCTGAGCCGCCGCCGGGCACCAGTCTCACCGTATGCCGGGAGTTGTCGGAATGCCTCTTTGGACTTGAGGACGAAGTTGAGGTAAGTCTTGACTTGGATCTTCGGGAGCTCCGTGGATGTCAGATAACCCGACAAGGGCTGAAATACTTCATCCCTTATTCCGGCATCACCAAAATAGGCGATCGAGTGTGTCCACACCCCGGCCGCCTCACGCCAGCGGCTATTGCGGTGGATTTCCTCCACCAGTCAGCGTCCCATAGTGAAGCGATCCTGTGTTACCTCAACCGTCTGTCGGCCGTCGGCGCAATACTTGCACCGGCCAATACAGTTCTGCAGGCTGAAGGCCTAGCCCCTATTAATGGGGTTTGCTTGAACTTGGCCCTGGTTGCCTCCACCAGGCTGCTGGCCGATCTTTATCTGCTTATTACTGCCGTCAGGTACCCACAATCCATTGTCTCCATCAGCCGGGAGTGTACTTTATCCGACTACCGAAGCAGACATCCTCGGCCATGCACCAGGGAGGCCTCGTGGAATTGCTCTGTGTCCTTCTGGTCCTCGCTTACAATGTCTGCGGACATCGTTTTGCTGTCCAGGCCGGAAGGAAAATCACGGTCGTCACACCAACCACTAGGGTTTTTGACTCTCTCAAGCATGGTCTTGGCCTCAGCAATGCGCGCCCCGCCAACGCCGACACAGGTGACGCGCGCAGGGTCGTGGCTGAGGGCACCTCCTTTGCGGAGTTCATTTCGGAATGGTTGCCAGAGCTCCCTCCTCCGGGGCAACTAACCACCCAGGAGCAGGCCGCATCCCTCTTTACCTTCTTTTATGACCATCACAACGAACTCGGCGCCTTCGTTGACCTCTTCACCACCACAGTGTGTGCTGGCACCACCGGGGCGGTCGACATCTGTATTGTCGACGACAGGGCGGGGCGCTTTACCATGTCGGGGGAAGACGCCCACCAACGGCTCACGGCAGGCAGTACACGGCCCACGGGCCCATTGATCATCGCCTCCCCCTCCCATTGGTGGGGCATTGTCGCTGCATTGGAGCTCCATGCCGTCCTCCATCACACCCACGTCCGATGGGAAGATCTGTACCGAACTTATGGGCTCGCCAGGCTTGGGCTATCAAGCCCCCCGCGCGCGGATAGGGAGACCGCCCGGGAGTTCTATGAACGGTGGTCCGTGAACCGCGTTCCTCCGCTTTGCGATGCTACAGCCGTTGCTGCACACAGTGGCATGGATGATTACCCGGTCCAGCTCCTCCTCCGGGGCGTGGATTTTGAGCACAGTGGACCGAGTGGCCAATCCATCACGGCGCGTCCGTTTTATCCGGTAATCGACACCGATCGCCCAGTCTTCGGACTGCTGGAGTTTACTACACCGCCGCGGTTTGGTCCACAAAGGCGAGGGTGTGCCTCCCCCCAAAAGGCTATACAGTGCACTCCGCTCCACTCACCACAGGTCTCTCATCGGGACACACATGACTTTCGCGACGCCAGCGACCGTGTGCCGGGGCCAAGCCAGCACATCGGAGTCGATGGTCACCGCCGTTCCGGGGGCGTTTTACCTTTATGCCATTGCCTCCGATACGATCAATACGACGCTGCTTGGGAGGTTGCAGCGCTTCGTGTCGTCGCAGGTACACCATTCTTGCCCTGAAACGGTCTTGCTGCCGCCGGTTGCTACTACGGGCCTGCCACGCGCCCTCTATGATCCGGCGGGAAAGGTCCGCCCGGACCCAACCGTTTGGGTTCCCCAAAAGGATTGTCTCGTGGTTTGAGCCGGGAGGGTGGGCCGGGGGAAAAGTGAAAAACTTTGCGTCAGGCTTCGCGCCGCTTGGAAAGTACTTTGGTAATTTCGTAGTTTGCAATGCCATGAGTTCCTCTTGCTTGTCTGCACTAACTGCGTTTTGCTTGAGCTCAGATCAACTGTACGAATGTCGTTGCCACTTTGGCACGAGGAAAAATTTTGTGTGTGAGGGGCGGGTAGACCTGCGGCTCGATAGGCATGGGCAGCGAGCTCAGCAGCAGTCGGCATGAAGAGACATGCCGATTGGTCGGCGCTGCATGGTCTTGATCCTGCATTGATTGCTGCTATCCGTGAGAGTTATTCGAGCATTGTGCATTTTGATGGGGCTTTTGATGATGAGGGTGAAGCAGCAAATACAGTGGAAGAGCTCCTTGGGGATAAGAAGCCAGCTGAAGAAATCAACAAGTTGGCAAGCAGCTTGTGGAACTGGAAGGAAAAGCGGTTGCATCGTGGGCCGTCAAGTGTTCGCATTTTGCAGGAGCACATCCGCGAGCTTCCGGTGAAGGTTCCAAGAAAGATGAGGGACATCACAGCGGTGTTTGAAGACGAGGTGCAA